AGTGCTACCCAAACCACTACTACTACTATTTACACCATAGACTTCTATGCATACTTTTTCCCGCGAGTTTTAATAGAATTTGTTGCCAATAAACATCAGTGGCGTAATAATAAACACAATGACGTAGCGAACGTAACTGCACCCGGGCCGCGACACTATATTGGCGCCCCTCCCCCTCCAGAAACAAATTTTGTTATTCTTGGAAACCATTAGGCTCCCCTCTGCCAGTGGCGCCCGGGGCAAGCTGCCCCACCCTCTGCTGAGAGGTTTTCTTCGTTTTTGGGCGATAGGAAATTCGGAAGTTCCTCAAGGACAGGCAGTCTCAAAGGATTAACTTATGGTGTATAGCAGCCTTAAGAAAGGATTTTTCGAAATTCCCAAGTGGAAGGAGAGGGAGAGCATTAAGGGTTAACCGGAAAAACGGCTTTTACTGTACTATTTTAGATACGATTTTTTGTTTTCAACTACGTTTAGTCTTCATTGAGTACTTAGGTGTATTAAATTGATAACATTTCAGACATTGTTATAAATATTTTTATCTATTTCGATTTTAATTAAAAATGTTAGATCCGTTTTAAATTCAAATTTGTTATTGCATATTGGTTCGATTATAGAACGAGTGTGAACGTTCCAGAAAATTGATCAAATTGAAGATAGTTCGTTTGATTCTCGGCAATTCTCTTCAGCGGTAGATGTTATATGACAATTACTATGGTTATTGAAATATTGAATGTAAATGGGGTTTGCTTGCAAAACCTCCGCGGACGAAGTTGCGGGTAACAGCTATTATACGATAAATGTTTATTGTTAATAAAAACGTATTAAAATTGCTGATAATAATTCAATTATTGTAGACCCTTGACACTTGGGGGTCAGGGCTTAAGCCCTATCCGTCAATATTTAAATTCGCCCCCGCCGACCTGGCCCAGAAAGCAAAGGAATTTACACTTTCGTTTCGTTGGTACCGTTTCTCGAAAGACGTGTCCTCGAATACCTTTCGGGCCCGGTCACATATCAATACTATATAACTAATTTTTGATTAATTAATTCATATTCACGAAATGTACTTGTAATTATTGTCACTTACTGTTCGACGGCTTGTACATATTCGGTGTTGCAATTATCATGAGCGTTTATATGAATCCCCATCGCCGACTCTGTCAAACAAACTCAAATATATCCCATTGTTTACAGAAATATAATCACTGAAATACAAACTCACCCGCAATTACATCCAGAGTGCAACGTGAAGTTAATTGAATTATATCAAACACCTCAGATTCATGTTTATTTTCTAACTTCTGAATTAAAGTTTCCGACTTTCTATAAAAGATTTCTTGGAAATCTTCGAGAATTCGAAAGTGAAATGCAGGATTTAACATCTTCCGTCGTGCCTTCCATTTTTTGTATGAACTAATTTTAAAAACAAAAAATTAGTAGTATTTATAAAACATTTCAAAGTTTAGGAAAACACAAAATATTACTTAATAAAAATTTAAAAAATAACTTTTTGGCTCTTATTACCTAGTAATGAGTCCTGTTCCGAATAAAAAACGTAAACCATTATATAATCTATGTTTGTTAATCGTATTATAACTTTTCAATACTTCCTGTAAGCAAATAAACGAGTTATTACATTAAATACAGGCATTTAGCAGAATAAATAAAAGAACTAATTCCTACTTCAATTGTTTCGGGATGAGAAAACAGAAAATAGTTACTTCCGTTGACTGATATTTTTATCGCTTTTTCCTTTGGATTTATCAAGCAAAATCCTTCTAACATTTGAAGAAGATCTTTAACAACACAACATAAATCAATGTCAATTTATAAATTATATTGTAATAATTATTATTTGATTAATTATTAAAATCAACTTACACACGTCAATAAACTTTTTATAGTTTAGNATATTGACGAAATTTACTTGTAATAATAGTCACTTACCGTTCAACGGCTTGTACATATTCGGTGTTGGAATCATCTTGAGCGTTTACATGAATCCTCATCGCCGACTCTGTCAAACAAAATGAAATATATCCCATTGTTTACAGAAATATAATCACTGAAATATAATCTCACCCGCAATTACATCCAGAGTGCAACGTGAAGTTAATTGAATTACATCAAACACCTCGGATTCACGTATATTTTTTAATTTCTGCACTAAAGTTTCCGACTTTCTATAAAAGATTTCTTGGAAATCTTCGAGAATTCGAAAGTGAAATGCAGGATTTAACATCTTCCGTCGTGCCTTCCATTTTTTGTATGAACTAATTTTAAAAACAAAAAATTAGTAGTATTTATAAAACACTTGAAAGTTTTAGAAAACAACGAAATATTACTTAATAAAAATTTTAAAAATAACTTTTTGGCCCTTATTACCTAGTAATGAGTTCTGTTCCGATTAAAGAATGTAAGCCATTATATAATCTATGTTTGTTAATCGTATTATAACTTTTCAATACTTTCTGCAAGCAAATAAACGAGTTATTACTTTAAATACAGGCATTTGTGCAGAATAAATAAAAGAACTACTTTCTACTTCAATTGTTTCGGGATGAGAAAACAGAAAATAATTACTTCCGTTGACAGAAATTTTTATCGCTTTTTCCTTTGGATTTATCAAGCAAAATCCTTCTAACATTTGAAGAAGATCTTTAACAAGACAAAATAAATCAATTCAGAAATTATATTGTAATAATTATTATTTGATTAATTATTTAAATCAACTTACACACGTCAATAAACTTNGAATCTAAAAATTGTTTTTCGAAGCATTGCATCTATACTGCCATTATTAAACCATTTACAATATCTTTAGTCGTGCGGGAAAAAAAGGTTAATTAATATTTTGGTATCGAGTATGCATAAACTGTCCAGAAAATGTTAAGTTAATTGTTCAGAATGCGCGCATTACCAAAAATATCGCTATTAATTGTTTTTTAGCCGGCCACGACGATCGTTCGAACGATTGAAATAGTAGTTATCTCAGAATCGGTCGAACGATTTCAAAATTATGCCAGAAACCGTTGTATTTTTGCCCCTGCTCAACGTCTTTCCCTCAAAATGATGAGAGTTTCTGATATAAAAGTTATAAAGATTTAAAAGTTTAACAAATTATCCAGTCTCTCAGATATATACTACTGATATCAAAAGAATCTGCAAAGTAATACTAGAAATTAAAAAAGAAAGAAAATTAATTTATTAAAGCAACGTATGTACTTTATTGGGAAGTTGAATCAATGCTGTTCGCCCGCCATCAGATTAGTAGTAATACAGAAGACGGAGAAATAACACTGAAAAAAATCATGATTAAAATACGTTTGACAAAAGACACTGACGTGGTGGACTCTTTGATAATCTTTTTAAACGATAAATTTAAGTCGGCAAAAATATAACAGATTTTAAAACCTTTTCTTATTCTTTAGAATTCATCACATTAAGTGACGAATTCACGTTAAAAAAGTTTATAATATTTTTCGGAAGACCTGGATCATTCTCAATTAGGAATGACTTGTGCTGAACTTCTCGAGCATTCATGAATACAGAGAATTGCTTTAATGCTATTATACTGAGTATTTTATTGGAAAACGAAACTGAGTTTTATGTCGTAGGTTTTATTGTTTCAGATTGATACAAAACACGTATATGCTGACCTGCTTGTAACGTTATGTCTAAAGCAGCTTAAAAGCCATTTATCAATCCATGTGGTGTGATATTTAGTCCATGAACAAGGAAGGATTCTATTTGTGGCTCTTATTTAGAATGTGGAAATTTGTTTCATTTTTTTATTTTGTAGATGATTTGAAAATTATGTATGTATTATTAAGATGTGATTATTATTACCTTATTAGAGTTATGTCATTACTTCACTGCGGCTCTATCATTTAGGAACAGACTGTATTTAAAAAATCTCACGTTTAGTGGCGTGTAGGTGCTTTAAATTTACAACAGGCAANATATATATATATATATATATATAGATAATCTTGTTTTTTTTATTAAAAAAATTACATAATATTAAAACACGTAGACAACAGTGAGCAACAAAATTGGTATGGTATTGGCATGGCATGTTAATTTTTGTGGATTTAGGCATGCCTATCTTTTCAACGTCAAATGATGGAACTTTTATACTATATGTTGCTTCGGTTAAGTTTAAAAAATGAAATTCAATTTGTCCTCCCTTGTAATAAATTATATCAGACTTTTTATATAAATTAAATAAAATTTCATATACTTTACTCTGACATTCCCAATATCTAAAATTATGTTTTTAATAAGATAAATACAGCTGTGTAAGAAATGTCCAAATTTAACATATTTTTTTTTTATTTCGTGGTGATAAATTATCAAAAGTAATAAATTGATTATAAAAATCTATTTTCCCAAAGTTGTTTTTATGTCTTGCTACAAACCCAATTTCTCTACATAATGTGTTGAATGGAAGATTTTCATCTTCAATCGTGAAAGCTTCGAAGTCAATGATAACTCCTATATCAGAAACTATATTATAATACACAGCATTTATTTTTCTATAAGATAAATACAGCCCATGTAAGAAATTTCCAAATTTAACAGATTTTTTATCTCGTGGTGATAAATTATTAAAAGTAATAAATTGATTGTAAAAATCTATCTTCCCAAAATTGTTTTTATGTCTTGCTACAAACCCGAGTTGTCTACATAATGTGTTGAATGGAAGATTTTCATCTCGAATCGTGAAAGCTTCAAAGTCAATGATAACTCCTATATTAGAAACTGTATTATAATACACAGTATTAATTTTAATACAAAATGACTTTAACACCTACCATTTGAGTATTTTTGAGTGTTGAAATCTAATTTATATTAAAATATATCAATTAAATAGAGACATATAAAAAAATATATATATTGTAAATTATTTTAATACTTACCACAAGAGAATTCTGAGACACTAGAATCTACAATTTTTTTTTTATATNTCAACAGAAGAAAACTAAATAATTGCAATTAAAGTAATTTCTATCAACCGAACACTTAACATTGCTCCACTGGACCGCAAATTTACTACGAATTAATGGGATTTCTTGTAAGAGATAACGTCAGGATAGACTTTGGCCTTAGGAGTGCCATCAAAGTAACGAAAGGTCGTTGATGGAAAGCAGGAAATACTATTTCTATTTTGGTGTATAGTAACGTGTAGCAAAGGATGTCACGAATATTATACTACAGATTCATCCTCTTCCATCAGTCGCGCAAATAATAGAACATTCGTACCAATACAAAACTATTTTAGAGAATTTCTTTTTCTTAAAGAAAGAAAAGAATCGTTTTTGTTTTAAGGCCTACCTGCAGAGACTGTATAATACAGTACATTTAATAAAGATAAATAAATCTGTAAAATATAAAACTAAATTATATTCTTACTTACATATAGACCTTTGTTTTTTTTGTAATTCTTTCAATTCTATCGATGAGTATATAGGCCTATATCTTCGTTAGAATTTCCGATGATGCTGCATATATATCCTCGTTAATATAACAAGTGAAGGTTATTTTCTATTTTAAAAATAAATCTTTCTTTTAGAGAACGGTGATTTTATTTGATAATCTAAATGTATAAAATTGCTTGTCCTGACTGACTGAATGACTCACTAACTCACTCATTGATTCATCATCGCCCAGAGCAGACCGCTTAACCTAAAGAGGTGAAATTTGGTAGACAGTTAGGGTACGTCATGGAAACGCACACTAAGAAGGGATTTTTTGAAATTCCGCCGCGGGCGGGAGAGGGAGAGGATTTAGTCTTCATCGAGTACTTAGGTGTATTAAATTAATAACATTTCAGACATTGTTATAAATATTTTTATCTATATTTCGATTTTAAAAATGTTCGAACCGTTTTAAATCCGCATTTGTTATTGCATATCGATTATAGAACGATTGTAAACGTTGCAGAAAATTGATCAAATTGAAAACGGTTTGTTTGATTCTCGGCAATTGTCATCATTCTCAGCTGTAGGTGTTGTATAACAATCAGTAGCGTGCCGTCAGTAGAAGCGGTGGAAGCGCCGCTTCCCTTGTATTTTCTAAAAATAAATACATATTAATTTTAATTATATGAAAATAATCGTACAATATTTTATTATAGCCGCATTATGTATCTTATTACGAATTTTTATACTACACGTGAAAAAAAGGTAAGATCGCTATTGCGCTGTATCGTCAGCATTCAAAAACCCAGATTCGCGCATGCGCTTCACGAAGCACCAACCTCACCCGATTTAGCCGGTGGAAGCCTACGACCTCGGGTGGCTGCTACACGTAAACGCATCCAATTCTATCCGGGACCGGTTCCGGGCTGTTAGCCGCCCGATTACGCGAATTACGAGTA